GGGGGGGGGGGGGGATTCTTTGTGTAATGTGCATGTTTTATTTAAATAACATTCATCGCGTTCAAAGTCATTTTTTAAATTTGAAAATGAGCCAATTTAAATTGAAAAAAACCTGCAAACATTTTAAAATAACTAATAATAATTATTTTCAGCAGAGCAACCATTAGAAGGTAATATTGTTAGTAGAAGAAGGAACGACAAGCCTTTTACAGTAAAAATGTATTTGATGATACTGTTTAATACACCCTCAACCCAGATTCAATGACTAGCGAGTTTCAACCAATTCTCTGCAGCTTGAACCAGTGCACACGAGAAGTGGTTGAACTACCTCTGCACGGTTCAGCTGCTTCTCACTCTTCATAAAATCGAATCCCTGGGATCAGTTTGATAATCACGGGATTAAAATTTTGGTAAAATTGTTCGTCATTGATCGTCACAATTATTACAAAAACCCTGTGGTTTGCTGAAGTAGGGTTAGTTAAATGTTGAAATGTTCCTGAGTTCAGATAGTGTATTCCGTCCTAGCAGCCATATCTCCTGGGTGTATGTTAAATCTGAATAAATAATCTTTTTTATTTCTAATTTGATTATTTTTTGGTACTTTCTTTTTTTCACCTTTGGTATGCAACAAAAGATTTCTAAGATATAAACCTCGTTTTTAAACCTATTTACTGCTTCAAACTTTAAAAGAAACGATTGACAACCTGATTATCAATTGAGTTCAATGTTAAAAATAAGTTGCTTTTCAACTTAAAATCTTAATACTTTAAACATTTTATTTTATCATTATTTTCAGCTTCCGATTACAATACGATTTATAATATTTTTATATTTGCATCCAATTTTTAGGAAAAATATTTTTTTGTTAAAAGTAATCCTCCATTTAAAAAAAGAGTTGCCGGTTCGATTCATAACGTTTGCCGTAAAATTTTTCTAAAAAGTGAGTTGCGAATTTAAGGCCCAATGAGGAAAATTATCAGAATTTAAAGGTTTAAAGGTATTAAAGGTAGAAAAACGGCGATATCTTTCACATTACATTTTACTGATCAGATCAGATTCAAAAGGTGTTTTTAGGAATCAAGCATATTCTTCTTTTAAAAGAGGGTAATTCCAAACACGACAATTCATGTAAAATCGTGATTTTGAAGTCAATTTTTCGTGCAAGCGGACAGCCCGGCCCGTATTATCCTATAAAAGTGTGTTGGGTGAAAGTGTTATTAGTCACAATAAAAATAATGTTCTAACCTTTATAACAAGTTGTTACGCCTTCAGTAAGATGTTTGATAGGTCTGTATACTCGGACACAATATAACTTCTCACTTTAACACAAGAACTTTGTTAGAAACTAACAACTTATATTCTAATTAATAATAATTAATAATAATAATTTGTCGTCAGGTATTCCCGTCATACTCTTCAAATGGTGAGGTCTAGTAAATATATAAGTTATTATTATAGTCTTGAAAATAATCTTCCTCAATTTTCAGCTGGAAAAATAGGTATATCTACGTCATTGATGGCCAAACAAAGGTTAAAAGGGTACCGTTGTAAATCGGACATCCCTCTCTGTAAACTTGTCAGTTGGAAGACGACTTGAAATTTAAAGTAATTAATAGCTTGCTGCATTGATATTCCTAATTTTGTAAAATTCTTGAGATAATATTCACAATAATCCCCTGGTTCTGGAATTTCCATAATGTACTCTACCTCTTTGTGCCTAATACATTACCAGAGATTTCGAAAATTTTGGCTTTCTTTAATAAATTGAAACTGATAGTTGGGTTGGAGAGAGTACAAACATCAATTCATAGAATTATGAAACCTTAAAAAAATCTGAGAAAAAATGTTGAAAATGAAAGTTAATATGTGAATTTCCAGGAAGTGGGTATTTATTTGTCATCTTCCCCAGAAAAAAATTAAATTCTCAACAAATTATTATTGAAGAGAGGGAGGGGGGGATTTTCAACAAAATACATTTCCCCGGCTGCGAGGTGGACCCACCTATCAGTCATGTGTGCGCTGGCATGTTTGTTAAGGTAGGGTTGACACAACCACCAATTATCATTGTCCTCGTAGTGCATCCTACTCCTCTTTACTCTTAATCCTTAATAATAATCAGAATCAGAAAAGACAGGTTTGCTTGTATAGAACAGATAGTTTAGCTGGTATAGAACAGATAGGTTAGCTAGTATAGAACAGATAATCTGGGAAAGAACAGATAAGTTAGCTCATATAGAACAGATAGGTCAGCTGGTATAGAACAGATAGGTTAGCTGGTATAGCACAGATAAGTTAGCTGGTATAAAAAATAGGTTAGCTGGTATAGAACAGATAGTTTAGAAGATAAGGAACAAATAGGTTAGCTGGCATAGAACAAATAGGTTAGTTGGTAAAGAACAGATAGGTTATCTGGTATAGAAAAGATAGGTTAGCTGGTATAGAACAGATAAGTTAGCTGGTATAGAACAGATAGGTTAGCTGGTATAGAACAGATAGGTTATCTGGTATAGAACAGATAGGTTAGCTGGTATAGAACAGATAAGTTAGCTAGTATAGAACAGATAGGTTAGCTGGTATAGAACTGATAGGTTAGCTGGTATAGCACAGATAAGTTAGCTGGTATAGGACAGATAGGTTAGCTAATATATAAGAGATATTTTAGAAGATCCAAGGAACAAATAGGTTAGCTGGCATAGAACAAATAGGTTAGTTGGTAATGGTATAGAACAGATAGACCCCTAAAATATAAAAACGCCTACTTCCTGTTTTTTCCTTAATTCCCTTAAGGTATTTTTGTTGAAAAAACAAGGTCTTCAAGGCAACCCTTCCTGCCTCAGGGATTTGAGTAGTATAGAACTTAGGGACCCCCAAACCATACACTGAGCCACCCTGGTTTTGAATCTGCATAGGGTGACACTCGCCTTAATTATAACATTTGAATAAAAAATGCTTGATTAAAAGTAATAAATTTCGAGCTCGATTAATTCTTTTTGTTTAATTACAGAGCGTCCCGAAAATTGCAATTTAGAGCTATAAACAATCTTATATGATGTGTAACACCCTGTATATAGGATATGGATATATATAAATAAACACCTTCTAAAGTCAGATTATCAATGTTCATCGCAGACTCCAATTCTAAAAAAGAAAATAATTACATCCTTCAGTTCTGATCAGTTAAGAAATATTAGTATATTTATTTGTGATAATACCATCAGATTGATATCCTTTATAACGAGACTATTTTTTTTTATCTTCATGGATTACGGAAAAAATGGGAAAAATTGGAATCAACTGACACGTTTTTCTACCCACATCATCAAAAAATTCATACTTTTCCACCTACCCCCCCCCCCATTCAGCCCGCGCAACATCTGAAAAAAAGGATTTTTCAGATGGAGGATTTTTCAAGCAAGACGGGATCGACACTCAACATGTTAGCAAATCAATGTCCATATAATGCCGTTGTATAAAAATAAACCTACTGAAAAAAAGTTAATACAAGGCATCATTAGACATCTATCCGCAATTTTGTTTCTCGATCATTACTATTACTTAAAGTCTTTTTTTATTTTTATATTTAATATTTTATTTCGTAGAATTTTAAAAGTTTTGTAACAAAAAAATATACTTGTTTTTATATCATTTTTGTTCTAGAGAGAATGTTTTTCATTTAAAAAATATATCTAAATCTTAGTTTACCTTTAAATGTTTTGTCGTCAGGTATTCCCGTCATACTCTTCAAATGGTGAGGTCTAGTAAATATATAAGTTATTATTATAGTCTTGAAAATAATCTTCCTCAATTTTCAGCTGGAAAAATAGGTATATCTACGTCATTGATGACCAAACAAAGATTAAAAGGGTACCGTTGTAAATCGGACATCCCTCTCTGTAAACGTAGTGTCCTTAGAAGTTAAGTCTACAGTTCCTTTAAATTGCAATTAAATTAGGCAGCGGCCAACTTACGCGCGCATGCCACAATGTATTATAAGACAGAGAGAGATCCAGTTCTGGCCGCAGCGCTCGGCCCCCCAAGTCTGTCCTAGCCGCAGCACGCGGCCCAGAAAATGGCTTAACCTAACCTGACCCTAAAATATATACTATCTTTTCTTCTTATAATTCATTGCGGCATGTGGACGGAACTACTTTTGGCCGCTCCCAATAAATTATACTGCAAGACAAATCACTAAGACCCTCAATGAAAGCAGTTCATGAATATTTAATGATATTTATTATTTATTCCTCAAAAAATTATCCAATTTAGACATTTTTGCATTGTTAACCAAATTTTAACTTTAAATTTTTTATATAAGAAAATAACCTACTTTATACTAGTCTCGTTAACTGAGGCCAACGGTTTGATTTTGTTAACTTCTTCCTAAAATGTTATTTATTGTCTTGTAATTTTTGTTGCATACTAATTATTATAAGTATTCTTGAGCAAGGACATAAAAATTGGACTATTTATTTCAAGCTTTTTTTAAAGAAAGTCATTTTTTCCAGACAAAAAAAAACAACTACAAAGAAACAAATGTCTGCAAGAACTTTTTTATTTTGTATAAAACATATATTTCTCATGTCTACGTGTTTACATAAAACCTATATTTCTCATTTCTACGTGTTTGTATGAACCTACGTTTCTTATGTCTGCGTGTTTATACAACCTATATTTCTCTTAAAATAAAACGTTTATATTTTTATATCTACGTGCTTATATACGACCTATATTTTACATTTCTACGTGTTTATATACAACCTATATTTCTCTTGTCTGCGTGTTTATAATACAATCCATATTTCTCATGTCTAGGTGTGTACTGTTTAGTGTCTATATACAAGCTATATTTCTCTTGTCTGAGTGTTTGTATAAAACCTATATTTCTAATGTCTAAGTGTTTATAATACAATCTATATTTCTCATGTCTACGTGTATACTGTTTGAAAACAAGCTATATTTCTCTTGTCTACGAGTTTGTATAAAACCAATATTTCTCATTTCTACGTGTTCAATACGTACAAGCTATATTTCTCTTGTCTACGTGTTTGTATAAAACCTATATTTCTCATGTCTAAGTGTTTATATACAACCTCTTTTCCTCATGTATACATGTTTATAAAGGGGGAGGGGGGCTTAGCCCTCGGTTGGTTGTTTACTTCGCACTGGAAATCATATACACATGAGTATAGTTTCCACTTTCCAGTTCTTAGTTTTAGGTCAAAAGATTGCATTCTAACAACATGTAACCCATCGTTACAAATCTATATGGTAATTTCCTAGAGAACGATTTTGGACTTCCCCCCCCCCCCCCACCAATCTTATCAATTTTGTACATGGATCTCATATGTACCACATGGGTAAGTGGTCATGTAGCCGCCCGGCCCGGCCCCCTAGCCTGTCTTCGCCACGGTGCTTGGCCCCCTAGACTGTCCTACCCACAGCGCTCGGCTCCTAGCAGCAGCGCTCGGATTCCTAGCCTGTCATAGCCGCAGAGCTCGGCCCAGAAATCTCTCTTTCAAGCTTTTATTGAAACAAAAATGGTACAGAATTGCGTAAAATCTATAAATGTCGAAATAATAAAAAATACACTAATATTTACAAAATGCTTATCGCATTTCACTCTCTATTTTATAGTAGATTTGAATTTAAATTTATACTAGTAACACTTAACAACACTGAGATCTGGAAGAGAATCTGACATGAAAAATAGTATAAACCTAACCCTAAAAAAAATAAAAAATTAATAATAAATAATAATTTTGCTGAAAAAAGTGGTCATGTCCAAAATTAGTAGGAGGGGGGGAGGGGGTCCAATAATCGTTCGCTTGGACAGACCCTAGTTTACTACGCAAACTTGCAAATATGGAATAACTAACGTCCATTAGCAAACATTTTGATATATTTTTCTGAAGTATTTAGATACAAGAAAGAACAACCTTGAATTTGTCCAGTATTTCTGCTGGATGAATAAGTTCCGATATCCAAGATCTATTGTCAGGATCGTGAATTTTGTCCATTTTCTCTAAAAAAGAAAACATATAATTTTTGACAACTAAAAAAAGAAAATAGTAGGACGTAAAATCGACGCTCTGCATTTAGTTTTTGCAGACAATTCTCCTTGTATTTTCCTTGTATGGGAGCAGAGATAGAAATACCGCGAACAGGAATAATATTTCTGCTCTTTAAACAGGGTTTCCAACGTTTTTGGGATTTAATGATTTAAAGGCGATCAACTTGGGAGAGAATGGACGTGGGTTATAGCAGACCTACAAGCACATGGTTTTGTCAGCTGCTTTTTGGACTTGTGGCCGCAGCGCCCGGCCCCTAACCTTTACTAGCCGCATCGCTCGGCCCAGAAATTGTCTTAGCCTAACCCTCAAGTAATACAAAAAAACATCTGACGTAGGCCTGAATTGTGATCTAGTTAAAAAATAAAAAGTGGTCAGAAGTTCAGTAGGGGGGATGTTGCGTATTTTTCGGACATTTTTTCAAAAACTTTGTGTTAAGTCCATGTAGGGTGTCAAAAGTCATCAACATTGGGTCGGGAAACTCAATTCTGGACTCTATAATGCATTTCCCCCAGTCCTAATACCCTTCCCCCTCCTTTCCCCCCCCCCCCCTCCAAAAGGTCCCTGAAGCCTTCTGACTCGATTAATGCATGCATACCTGAATTGCGATCTTGTTTTGAATCAAAAACCAAAGTTTTTCCGCATTTTTCAAAAACTTTGTGTTTGGTCCATTTGGAGAGTCATCAATAATCAATATTGGGTCGGGAAACTCGATTCTGGACTTTAAAATGCATTTCCCCTTGTGCTACAGCATCCCCTCATTTTTCCCCTTCAAGAGGTCGATGAAACCTTCTGACTTTATGACTAGAGATTTCTCTCCGATTTTTTGCATGCAGGCCTGAATTGTTATCTAGTTTTAAATCAAAAACCATTCTTCTTCTTCAGCATAAAATATGTTAATCAATTCCTTTTCTAGATTATATAGTCCAAACATTCCCGTTTCTAGATTATATAGTCCAAACATGCCCGTTTCTGATTGTTTAGTCCAAACATTCCTGTTTCTAGATTATATAGTCCAAACAATCCCGTTTCTAAATTATTTAGTCTAAACATTGCCGTTTCTAGATTATTTAGTCCAAACAATCCCGTTTCTGATTATTTAGTCCAAACATTCCTGTTTCTAGATTATATAGTCCAAACAATCCCGTTTCTAGATTATTTAGTCCAAACATTGCCGTTTCTAGATTATATAGTCCAAACATTCCCGTTTCTAGATTATTTAGTCCAAACAATCCCGTTTCTAGATTATTTAGTCCAAACATTCCCGTTTCTAGATTATATAGTCCAAACAATCCCGTTTCTTGATTATTTAGTCCAAACATTCCCGTTTCTAGATTATTTAGTCCAAACATTCCCGTTTCTAGATTATATAGTCCAAAAAATCCCGTTTCTTGATTATTTAGTCCAAACATTCCCGTTTCTAGATTATTTAGTCCAAACAATCCCGTTTCTAGATTTTGGTCCAAACGAACATATCTTAGATTTTCATTATAAATCGCAAAAAAATGTCGATTTAAACTAAAACATATTTTCTTCATTTGACCTGATTCAACATTGATATATATTGCTAGCTTATAGAAGGAATTTCGCTGAATGCAGTAATTTCAATTATATTTTTATTTTATATATTGATTAATTTGTTATAACTTGTACTGCAGAAAAATATATGATTTGAAATCTAAATTATAATGATATTTAGAACGGATGCGCAAAATTAATAGAAGGGGGGGGGGCCACAAAACGTATTACTCTCCGGAAAATTTAAACAGTGGTTAAACATAACTTAGAATTGTCGTAGGAGGCTGATTTTTTGCATGCAAACTCAGAATTATGTATATTACGTGCATTTTTTGGTTTTGAAGGAATCTGAGCAAAAGTGCGTGCGCGCGCGCGTTTTTTGTGAAAAAATGCGA